GGATCTATTTTACAGTAGCTCAAGTATTGGAAAACTGAGTATTAGACATTGGGATACATAGCTCATCGTTGCTTGGGAGAATTTGTCCATTTTTCAGGCACTGGGCTAATTATTCATTTTGGAAAACAGAGCCTCTTAGTTCATGTAAAGACCTGAGGGTCTAATTGAAAGCACCTTTGTTATTGTTTATGATATCTCATGGTTGGGAGGTGTGTGATTACCTGACCAGGTAATGTTTTCATCAGTGCTATATGTCTCTAAAAATAGCTGCATGTCCTCATCTACCAACTACCATGACACACCTCCCAACAACTCTGAAGCCATTTAGAATATTAGTGTGTTGTTTGATTGGTTTCCCTCACTGTTTAAAAGATTCTGTTTCCCTTCTTCCTTTCTTTTTCTTACCGTTGTTTGCCAGTGCAGCTCACTGAGGCCATTGTCTTTAATCAGTTGTAAGCCTTGACACCTGGACCTCCTGTCCTCACGTCCTGACAGAGCTTTGCTTTTCTAGGTTCCCGCTTCAGCAGTGGAAATGCCTGGTTCAACAGATGTCACAGGATTAAATGTTCAGTTTGGGGCCCTGGAATTTGGGTCAGAACCATCTCTCTCCGAGTTTGGACCAGCAGCTTCAGGCAGTGAAAATAGTTGTCAGAGTCCTATCAGCTTATACCCGACGTCTTTAAGGTACAGACCTCCCATTTTAGTCGTGACTGAACATAGTCCTTTCTTTGCAAAGTCAGAACAGAGTCTAAGAAGTGGTGAAGACAACTAATAATCTGCTGTGCGGCTCCCAGACTCTGCTGTCGCAGGCACTCGCTTCTCCCACTCCTCCTCCCTTTGACAAAGCCATGTCAGAACTCGTCCGATCTAGAGGTGTTTTGTAACCAGAATCATGTAAAGTGTGGCTTTTGGGTCTCCTAGCTTTCACTTAAAAGTTTTCAAAGGTCGTCCATACTCCATGTGAGTGAACTTGTATTGCCTAGCGTTTCACTGTGCAGTGTGGTGCATTCATGCTTGGTAGACGTGTAGGTTCTTTTCTCCTTTAGCTTGTGGTGTAACTGCTGTGTTACCAGCATCCTAGTAGCAGATGCTGGACCTTGTTGGATGCACCCGGAGTTCTCGGGCTTGCCTCGCGGCAGCAGCACTTTGTGCTGTCCCTGTAGTCCAGCTTCTGTAGCTCTCCAACACTTCATTTTGCTTAAGTGGAATATTTTGCAAATAGATTTGATATTTTTCTTAGTTGGGTTTTCTGTATCTAGAGGAAAAGCCTGATAATTAAAAACTAGTACAGTTCTGTAGTGAATGCCACTACAGATACAGTGTGATATGGAGCTGGTCTGTTTAGGGGAGCTGCCAGATGATGCCAGTGTGTCTAAAACCGTGTACTCTTTTCAGTGACCCTTTGAATGCCTCTTTACCAATGACCAGTGCTGTACAAAACTCCACCTACACAACTTCAGTCATTACCTCCTCCAGTCTGAGCAGCTCGTCCCTGAGCTCCGCTAGCCCAGTAACAACGTCTTCCTCTTACGACCAGAGTTCTGTGCACACCCGGATTGCATACCAAAGCTCTACGAGCCCACCAGACCCCGCTCCAGGCTCCGTGGCTGTAAGTGATTCACCTGGGTTTCTTATCTCTGCATTCAGGAGACAGAGGCAGATGTATCTTTGAATTCAAGGTCAGCCTGGTCTACAGAGTGAGTAGGATAGCCAGCACTAAACAGAGACACCATGTCTCAAAAAATGGGAGGAAAAAAATTGTGTTTGTGTGTGTAGGGGAGGAGAGACAGAGACAGAGAGAGGTGGAAATCAAGAGAACAACTTACAGGAGTTGTTCTCTCTTTATCTTGTGTCCTGAAGAGCTAACTAAGGGCATCAGGCTTGGCAGCTAGTGCCTTTGCTCACAGAGTCATCTTGCTTGCCTGTTGTAGTTGTTTAGGTAAAAGAACTTTCCTTGTATCAAAATAATAATAGTGCTTTCAAGACTGGCTTTTGGCGAGGCCTGCAGTACCAGATGTGAACTGTTTCCTGTGGAACAGTCATAAAATTCAACCAGAAAAACATTCCATGTAACAGACATAGCATTATTAACCAATTGAGTTCTTCTTTCCTGCTTGGTATGAATTATTACATACAAAGTTCACTGCCAAGTAATGCATGATGATAACATGTGGAGCCATACAGTAGGGTTTTTAGAATCCAGCTCTAATGAGATCCAGCAACAGTTAAGAAAATTTCTCGTATTGTTTTGTGGACCTTCCTGGCCAAGAACTACAGGATAGTGTATCTAGCCTCCGTCACTGGCATTTTTGTTTCCTGATATATTGCTTCTTAAGAATAGCTTGATCCAGGAATACATATCCATTCAGATAACCTCAAGGACTATTTTCTTAAGAGTTTGAGAGAAGAGCAACAGGGCTAAACCGTGGCAGTTGCTGGTAGACAGAGAAGAACGAGGGGTGAGGTTGGGAAGCATTTGTAGACAAGAGTTGCTAGTGAAGTATATGAAACCTAGTTGAGCTGGGTGTGGTGGATTTCCTAGAACTGAAGTTCCCTAGATTGTAAGCCACCATGTGGGTGCTGGGCACCCAATACAGACCCTCTGGAAGATGAGCCAGCCAAGCCCCATTCTGCAGTGCTATCTCTCCAGATCTAGTTGGACATTTGTCAGTAGAAAGAGCACATCAGCTTTTCTTTCCTGTGGTTGCTCCTTTCTGGAGATGGTATCTGAGCCTGGTGGCCTTGCTGCAGAGTGCACGTCCTGTGGCTTCCTCTGCAGCTTGTGAAGGCCGGTATCAGTCCCGTCACAATGTCTTACTTAGGTGTGTTTAGACAAGTTGACTTAGATTCTACAATTTGTGGACAATATAACCACAACCCACTCTGTACTAACCATCGTCAGAAAAGCCGTGGCTTAGGTCACAGCTCATCTTTTCTTAGAAGTATTTCTTGCCGGGTAGTGGTACACATGTTTAATCCCTGCATTTGGGAGGCAGAGGCAGGCGGGTCTTGGTGAGTTTGAGGTGCCTCATCTACAGAGTGGGTTCCAGGACAGGATCCAAAGCTACACAGGAAAACCCTGTCTCAAAAGACAAGAAAAAAGAAAAAGAAAGAAAAGAAATATTTCTCAAGATCTGATACTTTCTTTTATTCTTTCTTTTAAAAAAAGGGTTTTGTTTTTTTTTTAAATTTTAGAGACTTTTGCATTACAGAATTTTCATGAGAAATGGAAAGCGTCAGGAAACAGTTATGATGGGCTTCAGCTTTTGGTTCCGGTTAACAGCTGTAGTTTTTTAGATGTGCCCTCATTTCTTCCCAAAAGTTTGAATCTGGTTTTCAAAATGCCCACTTCTTTTGGTATTGTTTCCTTTTTTATTTTCATTTTCCTTTTATATTAAAAAAAAAAAAGAAGTAAAAGAGATGGGCTGGAGACGCAGCGTAGTGTTGCCCTTCCTGCTCTTTTACCCACCTCAGGCGGATCATACCCACCCGTTACTCTGAGACCGTCTTCCAGCTGCTTCTGTTACCCGAATGACATGCCATCACATAGATACACATAAATAAAGTTAAAGTAAAATCTTTGAAAGAAACAGCTGCTCCTTTGTTAACCTGTTCGCATGGTTGTTGTGGTCCCTATCGAGAGTCACGGGTGGTTGTCTGGACGTGTCCATGTGTTAACTCTTTTTTCTCTCCCTGTTCTTTGTAGAACGGACATGGTGGTAGCCGAAGTCAGCACACAGTGGACAGTAAGTGTGTATTCTCATTTTCACTTGTGGAAACCAAATAGAGAAATTTTGGCTAACATAATTTGGAAAACACCAATTGATGAGTGGTTAATTCTCTAAAATCAGTACTTGACTGTTTCCCTGGAAACCACTGTTGGTTAGTTTTTGAGACGGTCTCATAGCTCTGCCTTATCTGGAGAGGTCCAGGAGTCACTTCAAACTCACCCCCCAACCCTGATCTTTATTTTCCCAGCCATTAAACTAGAATGGCAGATTCCTCTCAGTCGCCCAAAATAACACAATGTATTTCACTCCAAACTGCTAATCCTTTTTGGATTTTCAAGACAGGCTTTCTCTTTGTTCCAGGCTGTCCTTGAACTTCCTCTGTAGATCTGCCTGCCTCTGCCACCCAGTGCTGGAATTAAAGGTGTGCACCACTACACAAAACAAATAGCAAAACTATACCCCATCATCAATTCTATTCTAAATTTATGAATTAATCAGCATTAACCTTATGTTTTTTTCCTGCATTTTTATCAGATGTAATCAGAGGCTGAAATGGCTTCAACTAGATCAGACTGCGAGAAATGGAAGCCCCCTTCTTTACCAATACAGGATTGAATTATGGCTCTTCAACCCAACTCTCATACTCCTTAACCTAATAATTAAAATCCTAACAATTTAAGTATTTATCCCCTTCCTTATTATTCATTGACATTAATTACATCCCTCTTACAAATACGAATTAAAATATTATACTATTTGTATCCTGTACAATCCTTCACTAATAGAAATTTTACCCAAAGGAATCATTGCAACATAGCAACATCAATAGCTGTGATAGCACCACTCAGTTTATTCTACATGCATCTAATTTATGTCCCCACACTCACTGTCTTTCTAGCACCTGACGGCACTGAACTATTGGTCAGTAGAGTGCCTACTTAGTCTACATGCAGCTCTGAGTTTAATCCCTAGGACATATCCTACCAGGTGTGCTGGCAGGTGCCTGTAATGGTAGCACTAGGACAGCATGAGACTCAAAACTACATGGGTGTGGGGTATACAGTGTAAATCCAGCATGCAAGAGGTGGCAGAAGGATCAGGAGTTCAAAGTCATCCTTGGGTGCTTAGAAGTTCATAGTTGGCCCATGCTAAACGAGACTATCTCAGAAAGAAACCAGGTTGCCCAAGCTGCAGGCCAACCTTTCGCCTGCCCGCCATGAACTCCCTTCTTGTTAGTGTGGAGTGCTTCTTCCCAGGGCATTCTGCAAGAGAGAAAAGACGATGATGTGTTTCCAAGCACATATCTGACTTATATGTGTGGATGACAATCAAGCTGAGTCTTTTCCAAAGGTCATCAGTTCTGTCCATCTCATCCCTGAAACATAAAACCTTGTGACTGTGAGACACACAGAGGAAGTTCCCACTGTGGATTTGCAAGTAGACATTGGTGTGAATTCTTCCTGCCCGTGTCCCCTGGCAGCCTTCACTGGTTTCATGTGGGTGGAGGTGCTCTGGGGAGTTCTTGCCTGCTCTTCTCCCTCGGGCCACATTTTCTACGGGAAGTTTATCCATTGCACACACACATCCATGTTGGCCCATCTTTTCTTCTCTGGGTGTGTGTCAGGTTTCTGAAAATGGGAGAAATATGTCCCCATCAAGACAGCTTAGGATTGGGTGTCCTTTTCTGTTCTCTGTCCACACCTTTCACACCTGTATGAAGCAGTAGAGCTGTCTGGTGACATGCCTAGATGATAGGCTAGGAAATGTAGCATGTTGTATATCATATCTGAATGTGACCAGATACTGACTGTGTGTCCAGTACTAAGGGTTGCTTCTGCGGCTAAAGAAATACGTTTCTTGCAGGTACTTCATCCACTTTAGATCCAAAGTCGACAGACCCACCAGCCCTCCCATCTGTGGGCTCCTTACCCAGCACCACCTCCTGCACTGTACTTCTGCCCTCTACATCCCAACACACTGCCACTTTGCCCTCCTTGTCCCAGTCTGGGGACCTGTCCAGCAGCCCCCTTTCTCAACTTACCAGGTATGTGGGTGACAGAAAAGAAAGGGGATGGAGACTTGTGGGGCTCCTGTCAAGCTGGTGCCATTAACAAAGCTTATTTGTCACCTCTGGTGGAGTATCAGACTTCTGTTGTAAAATACTGGCTTAGACTTTGGCCTGTCATGGCCCAGCATCACCTGATATGAAAACCCTAACTGCTTCTGATGTCTCTGTCTGAGGTCTCCTGAGAAGCAGTGGAACCACAATGACTTTCTTGTCCCGAGTTCTTGACCCATGCCGCTTTAATACAGAATAAGAATGACATGTATCTGATTTAAATTTGTCCTGATCCCAGAGATAAATTATTGGAATAGGATACATGAAAAGAAATTAGCTTGTTAACATACCTTCTGGCTAGAGTTATTTGATCCATTTAGTTCAGAGCAGACGTGAGTTATTTGAACTCTGTATCTGATTGGAATTTAAGCTGGACTCTTAGGTGTGGGCAACACATAGAAAGAACCTCGCTTGACTCACAGTCGTATAAGCTCTCCAGATAAACAATCCTGGTTTTACTCTTATAGCCAAAAAAGGTTATAATTTATTGAAGCCAGGATGTACCAGATGTCATGGTTTGGCCGTGTAAGTCATTTTTGACCCCTAGGAGTACTTGCCACAGGAGTCTAAGGGCATGAAGCCTGATTCCCAGCCAGGTGATCAGGGATAGGATTGACCTTGATTATAGCTAAACCAGATAGGTCTTGCTTCTGTGGAAAAAAAAAAAAAAAAAAAACAACTTGTGTTTTTGTACCTGTGCTTTATTTTATTTCCTAGTTCCCTCTCCAGCCACCAGAACAGCTTGTCTTCTGCACATGCAGCACGTCCCACAAGCACGCCACACACTGTAAGTGCACACTCCTCCTGCACAGTAAACCAAGACCTCCCGTGTGTAGTGGGGAAATTGGTTTGTTTTTGTTTGAGATAACCCAGAGTCTCATGGTTTACTGCCTTAGTTTCTTATTCCTGTCTGCAGATCTCTCACACTATCTGCCTAAAAGATGTAAACTAAATTGCATTCCATCTTGTTAATGCCATTTGGGACTTTGCTAGTGGTAGTGATTAAATATCTGGTTTGACCGACCTTCATACCATCTTTGCTTGCTTAGAGACAGACAGTTGGAGGAAAGATGTTTTAGAATGTCATGAAATTTAGGCCAGGAGCATTTCAGAGTGGAGGTTTCAGCGAGGGAATACCTGTGAATGTTTGCTGACATTTATTATGTATGTGCACCTTTTGTGTGCCTATAGCACAGAGGTCAAGAAGGACGGTATCAGTTCCCTGCATTTAGAGCTACAGACAATTGTGAGGTACCAGGTGTGTGCTAGGGACCAAATCTAGGTCCTTTGCAAGAATAGCCAGTGCTTTTAATCACTGAACGATCTGTATAGCTTCCTTTTTATTTCTGTGTGTGCATCTGTTGGTGTTGTCTCTGTGTGACTGTGGGTGGCTATCCATAGAGTCTGGAAAAGGGTATTGAATCCCTGATGTTGGTGTGACATAGGCTGTGAGCCTTCTGATGGGATGTGGGTGCTTGGAACAGAACTGTACACGCTGACCTTGAGCCATCTCTCCAGCACCTTAAAATAAAGTGACATCTGTTTTTCTCTCTGTCTCCGTAAACATTGTGCGTTGATTCTCACTATCTTGTCTTTTGCATGCTCCCCATCCTTGGAGAGCTGCCCTTTCCATGAGACTATACACCTCCATTTGCTGTTTTGTAACACTGAGGTAGGAGCAGAGACTCCTGTCTTCTAGAAGAACTGCATGTGCTCTTAGCCACTGAGGTTAACAGTCTCAGACTGGTCTGGAACTCAGTATGTGGACCACGCTGGACCAGTTTAATAGTCGTTGTGTTCTCTTTTGAGTCCTGCTGGCTGAATCTGGCTACACTGACTCTTGAGACAGAGTGATTCTCCCTCAATTTATAGTTGCCAAGTACTGTCATTGTCCACTGCCCGTTGTGCCATAGGTCTGTCTGGAGTCCCGGCTGTCCCAGCTCCTCCTTCCTTGCCATAAAATCCACACATCTTGTCTTTTGTCTTGCCAGCATGCCAGTGTGGAGAGCACCCCATCCTCGGCCACCTTCTCTACAGCTGCAACCTCTGCCCCAAGTGCCCCATCCTCGGGAGTTGTCTTGCCTGGGAACAGTCTGTGCCTGGGTGGGACCACTGTGAGCGTGCCCAGCAACAGTACCAGGGCCACAGCCTTGGTGACCTCAGGTATGTCCTTTACCTACCCTTTCCCCCACCTCCACCAGTGAACTTCCAGGCTTCACATTGAAGGGGGTAGATAATCTATTGTGTTTGATTTTTTTTTCCTCTTTGTAGGCAAAGCACCCCCAAACCTGCCTCAAGGGGTGCCTCCTCTGCTACACAATCAGTACCTCGTGGGCCCTGGAGGACTGCTCCCTGCTTACCCGGTGAGCACATAGTAGAACTCTGGTTGGCTCAGGGGCTGGCACCTTGCAGGACACGATAAATGGTTGAGTTAGGCCAGGGCTGCCTACCTGAGGCAGCTCATCTCTCCCTGTCTTTGTCCACCCAATACCTGATGTGTCTTCCTCCTTCCAGACTCTATGTAGATGGGATCTTTTCCTTTAGCACCTGACCCAGTCCCATTCTTGAGTGTATCTGTTTTGGTACCTGAGATGGCTTTGGTGTGGTCCCTAATCTGCTGATTCTCCTGCAGATCTACGGCTATGATGAGCTCCAAATGCTGCAGTCCCGGCTGCCAATGGTGAGTATGACATGACTCAGTGGACCCGGACAGCGCAGACTCTCAGGGCTCCTCCTTTCCTCGCTTGACTCCCTCAGCTATGGGATTCTCCACACCACCTTTGAGAAGCTCTGTCTGGTCCTATGTTTGGTTTGACCATTTCTTTTGAGCAGTGGTCATCCTGGGGAATTTGAGACTTTAGACCAAGAACATATGTGAGCCATGCCCTGTACCAAATCTAGTCCCCTATTTTCCTACTCTATTCCTTTTCATTTTCTTTAAGAAACATAAGAACAGCTGAACATGGAAGTATGTTCTGTAATCCCAGAGACACTAAGCTTGAGTTCAAGACCAACATAGGCTGTATGTTGAGATCCTGTCTCAGAACAAACAAGCAAATATCATATAATCCATGATCTGAGAATTGCCCTTGGGATTTAGTGTTGTCTTCCTCAGAGAGCGGCCAATGGCCACACTCATGGGAGCAGCATTGCTTTTCTCCCTGTGTTGAATGGGGGCAGGATCGTCTCACTTTATCGATGTCACCTGGCCTTATCCTGCTGGCCCTGGTGCTGGTGCCTCACTTCCAACCAGGGCTGTCTGTTCTGACTCTGGGTCTAGGGATAAGATAATGAATGGGTCTTGTGGGAAAGCACAGTGGGAAGCCAAGGCGGTCAGTGGCGGACACAGAATGTGGTCTTTCGAGTTCCTCAGAGGAAGAGACTTCTACCCAAGCATGGTACCCAATTTTCCCATGTTGTGTAGTGTACCAGATGTGTGCCTGGTGCCCACAGGGTAAAAGAGGGCTTCGGATCCTTGGAACTGGTTATTAAAGTTGTGAACATCCATGTGGGTTGCTGGAAGAGCAACCAATTCTCTTAACCTTAGAGCCATCTCTCCAGCCCTTCCTTTTTCTTTTAAAAAGCTGTCTATTAGAGGACATCTCCAGTGCACCCACAGGGCAAACAGCTTCAAGTTTTTCCTTGGATCATATTTTCGTCCTCTTTTGGATTTCCGTTCTGGTCACCCTCCCCACCAGTCTCCATTTGGGCTTCTGCAAGCTGTTCGCTGTTTCCTGGGCCTCTTTGGGATTCTATCTGAGAATTGCATGATTTCCCTGGAGTTTACTAGACTAGAACCCAGAGGATCCGAGTGCCATTCCCAGCTGAGGAATACACAGTCCAGAACTCTGGCTGGTAAGGGCCACGGCAGGATTTCTTCACCCAAAGAGCACAGCCTTCTTAGCTTTGCAGCTGCCATTCTCAAGCTTGGCTCAGCAGTGTCATTGTTGCTGGTGCAAATGAATCGGGAGAGACTGGGCTAGGCAGGGCCTAGACACAGGGTCCTGTACCCACCTGGCGCTGCTCCATCCCTGTAAGCCTCCCAGGCCTTGCCTCTTGTGCCCTTCCAGTGTCTTCATTTAGAGTCACTCACAGCAAGGGCCAGTAGAGCTGGTTTGCTCTGTAGCATTTACTAAATCTCCACATGTGGTGAAAAAATAAGTGTTGAAGCAGGGTCTTGAGCTGTTCGCACCAAAGTTCCTGTCAACCTCAGTTCTCTGCCACAGCTG